TGGGGAATTAAATCCCTATTAACGCTGGAGAGAAAAATCATGCGCATTGAAAGGCCAAAAGGACCAAAAACTTATATCTGTGTTTTTATTAGTCCGACTGGAATGAGGAAAACGTGGGAGTGTGGGGAATTAAATCTCTATTAACGATGAAGAGAAAAATCATGCGCAGTGACAGACCAAAATAACTTAAAACTTGTATCTCAGTTATTCTTGGTCCGATTGGAATGGGGAAAATGGGGGAGCGTGGGGAATTACTTGTAGATTAACGCTGCAAATAATATTTTGTCAAAGGGGCAGTATCAAGGATATTTACATCGTTTCAAACGATATGGAACAATCTACTGTATGGCAACGTCGCAAACTATCGATCGATAAAATACTATACGTGACGTGTAGTGTGAATGAAATAAGGTTATTTTCAATTGCGGTGGTGTCACGCTTTTAAAATCCATGCATTTATTTGCCATAGTTTAACTTAGTATTTGCAAAGTTGTTATTTAGAAGGCGTATGTATGTAAAAAAGATAGGTACAAAGATGCCCTGCATAATAGTCTAAAAATAGGTGCTGCTAAAATATCAAATGTGCTGAAAGCAGTTAAAATAACTTAATGTACTTTGTACACATTTTATACGTTGTTTGTTTTGTTACAAGTCATTTTATTTACAGACTTCGGGAAATATTACGTCAACTCTGCACGCAATGTGTCGAAGTGGGAAACACTGCACTAGGTACGAAAATGAATTGGTGGGGACGCTTAATGTGTCGCAATATATCTCGAAACTATTCTAATTAATAAAACTTGTTGCTATTAGTGAGTTATAGGTAAAAACTATTTTTAAATATGAAAGGGATAAACTGCACAGCCTGGCAACAGTGCACCAGGCAACGCATGTCGGTTCTTTTACGAAATCGCTACGCGCTACGTTTCTTTGCAATATATGACCAGGTTTAAAGGTAAATAAATGTATCTGTTGTTTCTATAATCTAAGTTTCATACTAAGATATTTTTAGAAAGAAGAAACACTGTTGTTCAGGAATAATTATCAATATATCTAGTTGATGCATATCAGATACATTTTATAAATGAGCATTTTTCAAAGCTGCCACCTGTTATTAGAGACATCCTCACTGAAATAAAATCGTCTTTTTTTAGGCGTTTTCTATTATTTAACAAAATTATGAACTGATGATGGATCACGTGACCAATAAATGGCCGACTGCTGCAATCATGATTTTTATCTGATGAAAATTATTTGAGAACGACTGACATTTGTGATTTTACAATCTTAACTGTCAAACTGTCTTTATTTAATAGGTCTATTCCAACACGCCCGAAAACCGTAATATTACCGTACATAATCATGCGCTGTACACAATTTTTGGCTAGAGCGCACGATTTGTACGGTAATATTACGGTTTTCGCGCGTATTGGAACAAACCTAATGATAACAAACAATTGAAAGACTTTTTGATAAGCATAAAAACTAAAGACAAGTACCTACGGGCAATACAATAATTGAAAAAATATGTACCTGTCTTCATTTGCTAGCTTAAAGGTTGGTTTAAAAAACCCAGTAAGTTTCTTCATTCATATTATTAGGGATTTTAAGTAAACTTTTTCTATTTCCTTATCTGTTTAATATTAATCAATCATTTAAGGTTATGTCACGTAATCCATCAGTGCATCAACATAATCGAATTGATGAATCTGGTGACAGCCATCTGAGAATTAGGTTAAATTTTAGAATATGGTGTATGACTCATCTAAAAAATTTTGATGGATAAAAGAACAGTTTTAATGAAATCTAGATGGCATCGATTTATATTAGAAAACGCCTTTTTAATTGATCCTTGTTTATCGGAAATAAATACTACAGCAGGACTGTAGAGAAGGTGTCTAAACAGAGGCAAGTTGATTTCTTGTAAACGCCGAGTAGTATCAAAAATATCGAATGATAAATAGGTACGCATTGTTTACATTGAATTTGTCCGCAATATTTTGCTGACAGTACGTTCTTCCTATGTTGTCAGATTTCTTCCATGAAATATCCTGCATTAAATTTTTATTAAAAAAATTACTCTTCCCTTTAATATTATCTATTAAAAAAAGAAAAATAAACTATTAAAAGCATAGATATGTGTTTTTATCACAGTTTTACAATCACTTAAAAACTCCAAAGTATCTATCTAGTGAGCCTAGTCTATTAGTTGTTTACCGTGAAAATATAAGTACGACTTTGACAATCAAGATTTCTTAAAAAAAATTTGTGAGGCAGAACTTTTTAAGCATATACCTGCAGCTATTTTTAAAATAACTATTGTGTCATTTCAGTTTCATAAAATACTAAGAATTTTAACTAGTTTGAAATATGACTAATATAAAATGTTACAAGCATGCGACTAATGATGTGTAATAGTATTCGTTGTAGCATAAACCATGCGAAAGTAAAATAAAATAGGTAATAATTTTATAGAGGGTGTCTTTAAGTAGTTAACCTTTCTTACATTATTTAGCTAGTGCCGAAAATATTCCTGAAGGTTAAAATATGTTTTCGGTATGTCTAGCTCCTAGCCCACTGCATTGCATGTAGAATGTGAAGTTAATCAGTTCGAACTTCAAGGTTCCTTTCCAAACCGATCGCGATCGTTGGCAATCAAAATCTTTGCGCGCGGAGTTTGAGCTATGAGCTTTCGATTTCACACGTTCCATACTTTTTATTAACCCAGCGAATATCCGAGCGAAATTACCAGGATCTCTCACTATATTTGGAGAAATTTAACTATACCCATCCAGTTTCGGGTATTACATTAACCGATTATTAATTCTAAGGTTATCTTGAATTTTAATTAACAGTGCTGGTCCTAAAGTGGTGCTGGGAAATAGTAACAATGCCTACAGGATTGAGTATTAGAGTACTAGCAGTCCATAATCTACACAGAATACGAGGCTAATAGTCTAAATTGTCAAAGCTAAACAAACCAATAAAAAATTTAAGGTTTTGTAGTTAACTGCACATGCAATCCAAATCATGTGATTTTAATAAATGGTGGACGATTGGCCAAAAACAACAAAAGTAAGTGATTTATGACAGCAAAGTTTTTAGTGTGATAATTATAGTCAGTTATGTGTATAATTGTTTTCGAGTTTTTAGATTTATTTTTGGAGTGTTTGGTTGTAAAATGGCAATAAATATTTATTAAAAATATACAAGGTGTACTAATGAAGACCTCCCCTAGATCCTCAGAAATAAAGGAGTTTTTCAAAATTTAAAAAAACACGTAACGTTTTATTTGCAAGGAGATGAATTGTGATATAAGATTTATACCCAGAAATCCAACTTCCAAGAGCCAGGCGCTACCCCGTTTTTTCAATTGAAATTATGGTCAAGTAACACATCATTTGCAAGTTATTTTTTTCTCCATACAATCCTATTTTTTTTATTTCATAAAAAAAAGAAGAAATAAATAGACATAAATTTCGTTATTGAAGTAAGACTAATCCTCATTTATTTATGGAGACGCGTACACAAACGTCTCAAAAATTTAATGTTTGAGTTAGCATTTTAGGGAACCACATTATAGGACCATTATTTTTTGATGAAAAACTCAATAGAATAATTTATTTTTAATTTGTTAGGAGACATCATTGACCCCATGATTACAGACATAGGAATATGATTATAAACTTTTAGAGAAAGTACTAATTTTCCTACTGATTGGCATTCGTCAATGACGGTAGTGGCATCGTGAGGCAGAAGATCGTTTCAAAAATATAGCAGTTTAAAAAAATCTGTATTTTTTATTAAAGTATTGCACCAAATGTAGCTTTTTGTTGGCGTAAAGCACGATTTGATTCACTATTTAATTAAGTCGTAAAATAATGTACCTTTTGTTGTCTAAAATGTGATTTGCTTCATTAATTCTATAAGCATTAAACATCCCTATCATGAGAGATATATAAAAGATAGGTGGATGAAAATGAGGTTATCGATTTTCTGTTATTTTCTGCATTCAATTGCAATTTTATATAATTTTCTGTAATTTTCTGTAATTTTCTGTAATTTTCTGTAATTTTCTGTAATTTTCTGTAATTTTCTGTAATTTTCTGTAATTTTCTGTAATTTTCTGTAATTTTCTGTAATTTTCTGTAATTTTCTGTAATTTTCTGTAATTTTCTGCAATTTTCTGTAATTTTCTGTAATTTTCTGTAATTTTCTGTAATTTTCTGTAATTTTCTGTAATTTTCTGTAATTTTCTGTAATTTTCTGTAATTTTCTATAATTTTCTGTAATTTTCTGTAATTTTCTGTAATTTTCTGTAATTTTCTGTAATTTTCTGTAATTTTCTGTAATTTTCTGTAATTTTCTGTAATTTTCTGTAATTTTCTGTAATTTTCTGTAATTTTCTGTAATTTTCTGTAATTTTCTGTAATTTTCTGTTATTTTTTCTGTAATTTTCTGTAATTTTCTGTAATTTTCTGTTATTTTTCTGTAATTTTCTGTAATTTTCTGTAATTTTCTGTAATTTTCTGTAATTTTCTGTAATTTTCTGTAATTTTCTGTAATTTTCTGTAATTTTCTGTTATTTTTCTGTAATTTTCTGTAATTTTCTGTAATTTTCTGTAATTTTCTGTAATTTTCTGTAATTTTCTGTAATTTTCTGTAATTTTCTGTAATTTTCTGTAATTTTCTGTAATTTTCTGTAATTTTCTGTAATTTTCTGTAATTTTCTGTAATTTTCTGTAATTTTCTGTAATTTTCTGTAATTTTCTGTAATTTTCTGTAATTTTCTGTAATTTTCTGTAATTTTCTGTAATTTTCTGTAATTTTCTGTAATTTTCTGTAATTTTCTGTAATTTTCTGTAATTTTCTGTAATTTTCTATAATTTTCTGTAATTTTCTGTAATTTTCTGTAATTTTCTGTAATTTTCTGTAATTTTCTGTAATTTTCTGTAATTTTCTGTAATTTTCTGTAATTTTCTATAATTTCCTGTAATCTTCTGTAATTTTCTGGAATTTTTCGAGGTTTTTGGCATGATCAGACAATTTTGAATTGTCAAAGGAGTTGACTGATTAAAAAAAAAACGATTAATGAATATTTAAAACGAGATTTGTTAAAAGGTTTGAAGTTAAATAAAATAAAGATTATAAATAAAGGACACAGTAAAATTTCAAAGATTTGAAGAGGAGCTGAAGATAAAAAATTCAGAAAAGGAGTATTTTGGAAAAAAGTAAAAGAGGCAGAGGTATAGCAATAGATAAAGGTAATGGAGAGATAATTATATAGTCGTGCAAAATTTAGAAAAGGGTGCGTCAGTAGGAAAACGAGAAAACTGAAGAAAAAGAGTGAATATATGTGAATAAGAAGGCAAAAGAGAGGTAAACAGAAAGATCGACGAAATTAGAAAAGGTGTACAAGCTAAAAGACGAGAAAACTTAAATTTCTATTATTTTGTAACATGTTTAAAATTTCTCAAAAATTGAATTCACCCAAATATTTAGAAATTTGACAATCTTAAGAAATAGAGAAAAAATTACAATGATTAGAAAAAAAAATTATTGACTTAACCTGGTATTTATTTGCACCCTACAGTAGAGACGTGATAGCATGTCCAGATTCTAAATAGAGTGCTTCGATTTATTTAGGTATAAAGGTCATGGCACGCTTGAACGTTTCTATCGTAAGTAGTTTTTGGGATTTTATGAATAACTTTTTCCGAAAAACTATACAAATTGCCAATCTAATGGTAGGTTATTAGAAAGTTACGTAGAATAGCAGTAGAATTTGCATTGTAGGTGGTAGGTTTACTGTTCTTGAAAATTAATTTGATTTTCTCTAAATATGATAAATATACTTCCAAGAAGTACAGAGATGACTCAATAAAACTTTTACAGATTTTGATATTGTAAGTAATTTTAAGTAGGTATATATGTCATTGGGATATGTCATAGACTCAGGTTCTGTCAAAGTTGATCATGCTCATAAATTTTAATGAACGTTTATTAGCTCGTTATAAATAATACTATATACAGTCTGTTCGCTATACTTACGCGGGTTTCGGATTAACAAAATTATGCAAATTAGTCATTGACAACCAGTTCCAATAAGCCTCTTCCCAAGAAATTAGGTAAAATTGCCATAATGGTCAGATTTAAATTAAAATAACATTAGGGAACTTGTCAATGACTAATTTGCATAATTTTGTTAATCTGAAACCCGCGTAAGTAGAGCGAATAGACTGTAGTTATAACACTTCCTTTCATTTTGAGATATTTTTAAAGTCCGATCCTGTACCTGGACATTACAGACACTTTTCGATTACAATTATTTTTACTGTGAATTTAACCTGTAAACTTTTGAAGATTAAATCTCCTCTTTATTATTACTGTAATCAAACCTTTTGAAAGGAAATTTTTGTACATGAAATCAAAAACTGATGAACGGTACATATATTTTTTAACGAAAGTGATTTTTCAGAAATAAGAAACCACCTGTTTGAACAGGCAGGGCCGCCGAGTGCCAGGCCGGGCCCCAGAACAATTCTCCAGATCGGTCTCCGTGACAATTTTAAAAAAATGTCTACTTCTCTTTACTTAAATTTCTCTAAAAAAAAGGTCTCCAAGCAAAAACTTCCCCCTCTTGTCTTGTGCCGAACTTCTGAAAGAAAAAAAATCCTCGCCACGGTTGCCGGGCCCCCCTTATACCGCTGTTGGGCCCCTATTTGAGCCCGGGCCCCGGGAATTAGTCCCGGCTGCCCCCCCCCTCTTGTCGGCCCTGTAAACAGGTAATGATGTATTTCAAGATTTCTATGTCGATTTTATTTTGAGGTTAGTTAAATGTCGATGTCAAAGAACTGATTTCATAAATTATGTTGTCTTGAGTAGGTAGGTAATAGCAGAGACAATCCAGCGAGACGTGTAACTCAATGTATTTTTTTTGTTCGGTAAAAGTTATTTGGGCGATTGTAACCACAACCAGTCTATGATGGCGCCACTAGTAAATAGCGGGAAAATTAAAAATGCTTTAGGGCGGGAAATTCAAACATGGATTCAGAAATAAAGTTTTTCTATACAAATTTACAGGAGAAACAAAAACTATTGTTTCACTGTATATTAAAAAAATATAAAATCTTCCAATAACATCAAATTTTTTATCACATAAATAATCATTTTAATAAAGGAAGTTTTAATCAGTTTAATATAAACAGTGAACATAGTTTTTATTACTCTTGTAAATTTCGCTAAAAAAAAACTTGAAAATTCTATTGATTATTAAATATTTAAACTTGGAAAAATAATACACCAAACTCTTTTTCTATAAATTATATTTTTGTAAGGTACAGAAAAACTAACTACAATTGCTTCGTTTAGAAAGTACCTCGTATCATTTTGTGACAAATTACAAAGAAAGTAACAGTTGTTATATATTCATAATATATTTAAAAACTAATGTAACAAATATTTTATAAAGTATAGTATCGATACCTTTTTGCCAGACTATCATAAGTGCCATTTGAACAAATGTCACTTATGTTAGTCTGGCAAAAAGGTATGGATATGTTATGACTGTTTATTTTAATAGAAACCATGGAAACGAAACACACATACACTCAACACAAATGTATAAGGCCCGAGTCAAGTAAGTTCCCATCCTGTAAACTGGATTGAAACCTGCTAGACCCCTGCTAACTCCTCTTATAGTAATCAAGATCAATATATTTATATGCCATGCCTTCTAAAAGGGAATGAAGGATGACATACTATCATCATTTAAACAGGACGTTGCTGAAGGCTTACCCCTGTTATTTCGTTTGTTTGTGTATCTTGTGTGTGTGCATTCCTGTTGTGTCCCCAGTCATGTAAAAGTTTTCCTAAGGCTTGTTTTGGTTCTTTCACGAACTGATTCAGAATTAGTGAATTACACTCGTTCAGCTCAATAGCTTGAATATTATCGCGACGTATTTTTGAAAAATTAATTCCTCAACTTTATTTGAGAACTGGAATTGATGGTTCTGTTTGAACCAAAACAAACCCAAAGTCTCCTAATTTGGTTACTAGGTGGACCTTCTCCAACTAGTAGTCTAATCTGTTCGGAAGCAGGAGGTACTTTTCAAACACAGCAAATAATATTATTAATAATAAACACTATTTAAAGATAAATACATTTTTGTAATTTTTTTGTCATTGCCCCTTACCTTTCTCTTACACCACCAGGGTATACCTATTTTCCATATTCCCTTAATTATAGATTACCGTACAATGTTCGAATGAATATAACATTTTACTCATGAAAAATCTAATTTCATATTTAACTCTTTTTCAATTTCATTTGAAACAATAATTGGTACCTATATTACAATTTATTATCAAAGAAAATGTCTAATAAAGTTATAGCAAATCCTACTTAAACTACTGGTTGTTTTGCAGGATAAATTAACTTTTCTTGAGATTGATCTCTCTATAAAATCCAAAACCGACCTGATGTCCCCAAATTTATTTTCCAATGCATCCGGATTTAAAATTCTGCCCTTTTGTGATTCAATTTTTTTTTCTTCCTTTAGAGTGGCTGTTAGAGGTAGGTGTATGTAAGAAATAGCTAATCTCTAATCATTTCAAAAGTCCTTTGCCAATACTACATGTGCAGATTTTTTACTCAGCATACATTTCTAGTAGATAGGAACTTTGTGCTGCCATTAAAGCTGTCCAGACTTCATCTACCTACTTAATGAACACAAGTAGCTGTAACAATAGATCTCTGTTCCAATTCACCTAAAATAATTATAGTCATTGTGTAATATATTATTAAACACACACATTATACAGTGGTTTTCTTAATAAATTGGAAATTACTTACCTCTAGAAAGAAATGTGTACAAAAACGCGAGTTTGGTTCCAGAAATTGCTTCATGCAAAAATAAACATTCCCCCCCAAAGAAAATTAATTAAACAACAAAATCAGACTAAAAGAAATATACGGGGCCCAAATTAAATTAATTTTAATAAAATGCACATGTTCATAACAACATTCATAACATTGTCAGTTGTCAGTTTTAATACTTTTAATCGATATTTCGACGTCAAAAAACCAGCAACACCAGCGCCCTCTGAAAATGGTGTTAGTTTTATTGGAGAGAGATAGACATATATAAAGATCAATGTAAAAGAAAAAGAGGGTCATATATGTAATTTAAATGGACCACCGAACATATTTTCCTATTAAGTTACACGTCTCTGTTGTCTCTGGTTATAGATACAATAATAAACATTACGAGACGGATAGAAGACATCTGTTTTCTACAATATTGAATAATTGTACGTATATTGTATAACACAATTTTTCTATATTACAATTAACATTATACAGGGTGATTTATAACATCAGACGCAATGACGATATCATACATTTTATTTGTAATATTTTAAATCTTAAATCTATAATAACATTTCTACAACATAAATACATTCGTACTGTATAAATATACATTGAAATCTGTATAAGCTGAATAAATTTGAGACGTTGCTAATTAATACCTTTTTGAATCACGCACTTTAAAGTTTTTCATCGCGTTCGTTATTTTTAAAATATCGATTGCTTTATTGTGTGTTTATGACCTAAGTTCTCTCAACTTTCTTCGTTCAACGGCACGAACTAACTAATTAATTCATATTTGCAAATATGTTAAAATTAATTGAGAACTATGTTTTTTAGTTATTTTGGAACTTGAATGTTTATACAAACTTTATTCCAAAAAATATTGCTGACATTCATCTTCAATGCTATATACCGATACCATGAATTCGGTACCTCTGTTCTATATCTTTCATCTAATTTCTTTTCTTCTGGCCAATTATGTGGTTTTCTTCATTTGTTTGCTCAATTTTATATATTTTTCAGAACATTTTCCTGTCCTCAGTCTCAATGATTTCCGCAGTATTAAATTTACTGCTATGAATAAAAAACATCAATTATTATACCCTTTCATTAAAAAAAGAAGTTGGGGGTGTTTCTAACCCCCCAGATAATTAAAAAAATAAACAAATCTTGTAAAAAATAAAATAAAAATTAACGTATTTAAGAAATTTTTCGACTAACTTGTATTTATTAAGTTACATAATATTTTTCAGTTAGACTTTCCACTCTGTAGAATTTAAAGTGTCCTTTTAATATTTAAGTATTAAATTTACTGCTATGAATAAAAAACATCAATTATTATACCCTTTCATTAAAAAAAGAAGTTGGGGGTGTTTCTAACCCCCCAGATAATTAAAAAAATAAACAAATCTTGTAAAAAATAAAATAAAAATTAACGTATTTAAGAAATGTTTCGACTAACTTGTATTTATTAAGTTACATAATATTTTTCAGTTAGACTTTCCAC